GCAGAGAAAGTTTTAAAAATTTTCTCCACACTTGTATTCAAATGATTCACTGTCTTAAAGACAGACATTTTGATTTTCGAAAAACGCAATAAATCAATAGCATAATACCAGTCACCTGAAGACGGATGTAGGGCCAACACCCGAAATACATTTTAAAAATACCTGAGACATCGGGAAATGTACGTAAGAATATTGATGAAAACATAAACCATCCTTACAGGTTTAAAAACGTTGTAAGTGCATAATCACTAATATTTTCAATAGGTTCGCGAGAAGTGGCAGTTGGCAGCCGTGATGCCCGTTGAAGAATTGATCCCGGCGTCGTATCTAGAAGGACATACCGACTGCATGTACCTCGGTTCTTGATCGGCCAGCGTTCCAACTATCACAAGAATCTACACTCTGGATGTCTGTAAGACTTGCAGCTCCACTGTACGTCTGTACATGTGCCTCGATAAATAGCGGCTCATCCAACAGGTAACAAGCCCAGTTTCGCTTATCTGAAGAAGAAATGCAAACTAGTGTCCTTTTCATCTATGGTCTTAGCGCCGTAGAGCCTAGGTGGAGCCAGCCATCACTGGGACATTGCTAAAATCTGGCTGGCTGCCCGATAAACTAACCGCTCTGTGCGTGTTATCACAAAAGATGACTCCAAATCACAAGTTGTGCTACATACGAGATTCAAGGCCTGATCTTCTCTTGTTCTAAGACTACAATATTTAATGGTAACCAGACGATATTCGGGTTGTAGATTTACCTCAGGCAGCTATAGAAGTTAAATAACAATTCAAACATTCAGATTTGAATACAGTGCCAAATAAGTGTAAATATACGAATCGTAAGACAAATATAGATAGAAGACTTATTTTGTAATGCCAATATCCTTTGGCCCGACCAAGATGAATCTTAATAACCTCCATTTTCAGAGGCGACAGACATCAAAACTTCAAAAGTCACTCATTTATGTTTCTATTTAGTCGACAAAAGTGTCGATCATGCTTTATCGTGGATCAAATGGGTTAAAGAAATTATAATATGGAAAAGTATCAGTTGATATATTAAACATAAATTGGTATTAGTATGCACCTTAATGCTGGTGAAATGTCAAGGAAAAGTATTAAAAACGATATAATATATACTGTTACAAGCGTATTTAAAAGTTTCCGTCATTAATATGTTATTAAATTAAAGGAAATTTTCGAGACGTTTGTATAATTGTTGGTGACCAAATGGACAAAGTTAATCAATTCGTTGTTGCATATACAGGTATAGTATATTTTTGAACGACGTAAATTAAGTATTCTGGTTCTCTGATAACAGACAAAGGAATTGAAAATAGTTCGTTAGAGTTCAATTCGTAGCCTCTACATTCACTACGTATTTTTAATTGGACACAAAGTACTTTCTGTCTTGAGAAATAAAATTTATAAACTAAAATAACAGTGACTAAAATAAATCAGCGTATTTTTTTTAAATCTGCAAAAAAAAAGCGATAACGTCATATATTCTGTCTCTTAATTTAATGCAACTTGTGTTCGTTTTACGTTCATAGAATGAAGTTACTATATGATAATGTTTTATTTATAATTACTTCCTCAATAAT